GTGACAGCCTGTTGTACGAACAGTACAAGGAGTCTTTGAGTCCTGCATTAGTGAGATCCAAGAGCTCTTCAGACTCACGCTCGTAAGCATACGACACAAACCAGCAAGTTAACTTAAAAATTGTGGTTTCGAGGGGTTTTGAGAGAATATTTGTAACAATGCTGGCAATAATACCCAGTTTCTACTTCCTTCCAGCATACCACACACTTTGATTTTTTTTATATATATAAATATATTAGCATTTTAGTCCCGAGTACCAGTTCAGTTTTCTAACTGTAACTCTCACAGAAGCTTGGTTTGAAAGTAGAGGACCACTCAACAATTTCTTGTACATTAAGAAAAACCCCATATCATCATCATTAATTTCTGGTCAGCGGGAGGGGAAGTAAAGTAATTTTAGGCACTGAACTACTGGACAGAGAGCACGACGAGCATACCTTCATTAGTTGCAAAGTCTTCGTGTAAAATAGGAAGATCAAGTCTAATCCGCTTTAGGCAGGTCTGCAAATGAGAGATTAAAATACTGATATTTCATCTGTAACAGCATCTTTTGTGCAACCTTGCTATGTTTTTAATACTACTCCCAATTTCTCATTATACTTTATCCCTCTGAAAAAATTATTCCCTTCACTACATGTCTGTTTGACCCACAACTTTTCATGCTGTGGATTGTTCCTCTAGTTCATCTATCACCTAGCGAGATGAAGCAGCATTCTTCATAAGTCTTCTTTTGCAGGTTCAAATGTTAAAAAACAAATAAAAAACCAACCCACAAAACCCCCTAAAACCAACCAGTTCCAGCACTCTTAAACAAATTACTTTGTTTAAAGATAACCCGAGAAAGTCAAAGCCAATTCTCTGAAGTACTAATTCAAATAAAGAAAGGCTGTATCTAAATGTGCACTTAAATACTGGAAAGAGCTATTTTTAAAAAGAGAGAAATTATTTAAATAACAGTATACTCCTCAGCAGTATGCACAACTTAAGTCTTCTTGTGTTGCATAATTGCTCGCCTAAACCTACCTCTTACTGAGCACTGCATGAAGAGAAACCGACAGAGGAATACGTACCTGCACTTCCTTTTTGTTTCCCAAAGTCTCCACTCTGTCAATAAAATCCTCAAACTGCAATTTTGGAAACAGCCTGTGAGCCCAGTGTTCCATGTGCCGTATGAGCGTCTTCAGGTCCTCTGCCTAGAGCACACGAAACACCGAGCTAGCAAAAACTGCCCAAGGCAGGGGACTGCGGAGGGGAACGCAACAGGAACAGCTGTGAAAGCATTTTAAGCCTCTGCAGCTTGAAAGCCTCTGGAAAATGGAAGCACTATGAACGCGGGGGTAACCTCTCCGCTCACAATCGAGGCTGAAGTGCCATTTCAGGCTGGGAGAAGAACAGCCATCCCAGCTCAGACAGAGCATTTCATACACTGTAAAACATCCGAGGGGCTTCTGGGCAGCTGCCCTTACGCAGCCTAGGTCTGAACCGCGGCCGAAAACAAAAGATCCGTTTATTTTGACGTTTAGAACGCACAGAAAAATGTGCATCTAAATAACCTTATCTAAAAGGTTTTTGCTCAAAGCAGCAGTTATCTCCCAAAATCTTTGTACCTCCAGTTGTAAGAGAAAATCTGTACCATGAATGTTCCCTGTAAACCAGAGGTGCACAGGCATCCTTGCAAGTGTGCCAACAGCCTACTGATATTTAAAGAAAAATAAGCCTTGTATGTTTAAGTGTATCCAAGACAATGAGTCACTTTGTAGAGAAAATCCTGCTTTCTCCTTGCTGAAGTGGTATGTCACACTTTTCAATATGAAAAGCTTTGGGACAGAGGTGTCACAACAGCCAGAATATTTGCAGTAACAAAGGAAACTGGTCATGAAATGAGAGGTAAAGGCATTCCAGATGTAGTGGGCAGTCTTATTAGCCTGCTCCAATTTCAAAAACCTCTTTCTGTGGACAATACTAACAGAGTTTTAAGATCAAAACATGGATTTTATTAAAAGATTTGTTCGTTTTTTTTTTTTTTTAAATTTGCAACTACAAACCCCATCAGGGTATGTTCAAATACTGCTAGAAAGCCGGCTAACCAGAGTGTAACATCAATTCTCCCCATATCAGATGGGCAGCAACCTACCAAATCCAGATTAACCTCCCAGGACACAAAACAAAAGCTCACTGTGTCTTACCTCGTGCCCTTTACCCTTGAACTTTACGTTGTCAAACATGTGTCTTAGGGCTGGAAGTCCTCTTTCGGAAATTAACCTGGTAATAGGGAATGGGTGAAGCTATTTGAAGCCCAAACTTTCTTCTTCTAATTAACAACAATGAAAAAACCCCGAACTCCACCACAAACAAAACCCCCTCACATTCCTCTAAATAGCTTAAGGCTACAGAGGTCTATTTGAAAGACGGACAGAATTAGAAGTCATTAAGAACATGCACAAAATGCCATAAAAGCTGCCCCGAGGCCCAAGTTTGTTTGTTGTTAGTTTTTGGTTTTTTCTTAAGCCACCTTTAAATTTTCAACACATGTACTCCTAGCCCAAGGAGCTTTTTGCTTTTGATTACATGGAAAGAAAACTGAATGGTCAGTTCTGGTATCTATACTGGCCAAGTAAAACTAGTTAGATGTGTGATCAAAGCACCCACGTGTGGTATCACTGACCTCAGTGTATTTCAAACAATGGAAGAAACTGAAAGCTCAGCTTCCTTCCATTGCTTGTAAAGAACTCACACCAGTTTTAGTGATAACAGCAAAGGAAATATTAAAGTCATCATCTTTATAGAGAGTTCACCCTGTTTGTACATAAGTCACGTGTAAGTGTCCTTTAGGTAGTGCCTTACAGTCCTCATTCTATCAAGGTTTTATTTTGAAACGGGCTTTCATTAAATAAAGAAACCTACAGTACTATGGCTGAGGCCAAATAAAGAAGACCCAGCTGGAAGAGTCCTACGTATAAATAAAAATTATCTCTTCACGAAGCATTAGTCACATACTAAGTCCCAAGGAGACCTCAAGGTTAGACTGGCAACAGCGCTACACAGGTAGGCGGGGAATGAGAAGGCTGAGGTGCAGCAGGCAAGAGGCACCTCCATCTCCAAAACTCTTGATCCTGACTTGGCTGTGACCAAGCAGGGAGCACAGTCACCCTAAATCACTCCCCGCAGCCACATACCAAATTCATGACAGAAAGAAATATTCTGTAAAAAATTACCTCTGGGCATCTAGTTTAGGCATTGGTCTCTTCACTGCTTTCCGTGGGGCTACAGCAGCATCCTTCGCTTGTGACGGCTGCTCTCCATCTGGTTCCAATAAAGAGAATAACATACTTTAAGTATATAAAGCAAGTGACAGCAAGTAGGATTGTGTCGTGCAAATTTTAAGTTTCTACCCTATCAAAAAGGCATCACAACTATCTCATTGCCAGCACAGTACTCCAAACAAACATCTGCATATTTCACCTGCCTTCTCACACAAGACAGACTGGAAATAAATCCGTCGCTTCAAAATATACTGAGGAATCAGCTTTTATAGCAAAGTAGGTCCCTTGAAAGGGAAATTTCCTAATTTTAGAACTTTTATATTGTATTTCTGATGAGAAATGTATTGAGAGAGGATGTTGCCTCTAAAAGTTAAGAAATTCTAATTATCAATGAACAGAATTTGAGACGTATGTCCCAAAGTTTCCACCAATAGATCTGAAAGACAGACCTAAAGCACCAGCATCACCCTCAAAAAACAGAGAAAGAGGAGATGTGTGACCACAATCAACGCATCTTTTAAGAACCACATACTTTTTGATTAGGGCCAACACATTTATTTGACTGCAACAGCCAAGGCACCACTGCCCATCTCATCTCAGAGCTAGCAATTGGTTATCACACTGATTTCTTGGTTTGCTTTTTGTTACTTTGAACATCAGGAATTCAGACGTTCTCCTTTTCACATACCAAAGAATTAAATCTATCCAAAATCCTATTTTCTAGTGGACAGAGCAGGGATCAAGGGGAAAAATATGTTTAATGCTGTAGACAGGCATGAGTAGAAGTAAACAACAGTTAAAATAAAACCTATTACCTTGCTCAGGCACAGCAAGATCTTTTCAAATACAAACAATTAAGTTTTACTGTCCTGAAGTGTCTTGGATTTTTCCTAGGTCATGCTCTACAAAATCCACCAAGATCTCCCTGGAATACTACATTCACGCTTACTCCTTCTGAAATCCAAGTCAACTAATCCAGGGTAACTATAGATCACCACTGCATAATTATCTTTACCAACGATTTGTCAGAAGAGCTTGAATTTTATAAAGATTCAATTGTGCACATATTTTCATGGAATCTACAAAAATAAACTTTTCCCACAAGCTTGGAAGCATAGAATCATTAACAATTTAAATTTACAAATTGCTTTCTTATCTACACAAGACTGTTTTTATGCAGCAAACTCAAGACAGTGAAGTATACACCACCAGTAACGTTGATATCCCAGGGTTTCACTGTCTGTACCAAAAAAGGGGATCTTTAGGGGTCACAGGTGTTCACCTCCATTAGCTTGAGCCCATTCAACATCATCTCTTCCTGGAGAGGCAGGAGGTGGAAGAGGTGGGAACGTTTCATCTTCTGTATTCTCATAATCGGGAAGATCAAACAAGTTGTTCTCTAAAGGATCTATCATTGCCACAGACGAGCTTTTTTTTCCCCTCCTGCAGGAAATACCAAAAGCATTTAGAGAGAAGCAGCGAGAAGGCTGCCACAGCAGCAGACAAACATCAGTTATACACAGTCTGTCTGCAGCTTTTCCAGAGAAAAAATTGCCAGCCAGAGAAAACAGCCTCATACAAATTAAGCAGCAGACACCACACAGGCGATGACACAATCCAGCCTCCCTAGGCGGAATAAAATAAGGGTTTGTCATGTTTCAACTCATCCAAGTTACCTGGGAGTGGCAGGTACGGGTCACAGGAACAAAACAAAAGAAGGGGATTTCTCACCAAAAGCTGTTTGCCACTCACATCCTTGATAAGCAAAGACTAGGAGGTTGGGGTGGTAATTCCTCTGATTTACAGCTTACCCACTCAGAAAGGCAGTCTGGAGGAGGATTCCCCTTTCCCGGCTCCTTAAGCGAAGCTAATTCCGCAGACTTTAGCACATCAGCACAACCGGGTTTAGGGTGACCCGCTCTCACCACGGCTGCGTTCCCAAGGCTTCAGGAACGGCTCTTTTTTTACGGGAAAGTTGTTTCTCAGGCGGTTTCAGTTACGAGAGGACGCCCCAAGCAGCTCCGTGTACACTGACCTTCGGAGGGGAGCTCCCGACCTCTGGGCTGCGAGACTCTCACGGAGGCTGAGGGG